TCATGTGTAATGTTTTTATGTATACGTTCCAACTTTATATAAATTAATATAATGATGGTAATCTGTTAAAACCAATACTTTATATAAATTATATTATAACTAAATCAATTATTTATATCTCTAGATCCCCTTATTAAATTTTCACATTGTATATGCTCACAATAGTAAATTTGTAATTGTGCATGTATCTTTGAATTAAATCACTCAATCAATCGACGTAATTAATGATTCACAGATTCAGATTACATATCTTTGCATTAATACATACGTTCTATCATTTAGAATTTTACTCTGAATGTTTAATTGTTTTTCCAAATGTGAATTTTTAGCATTTGAAATATTCTTCAGCCATTCTAAAGTATATTTCAAAGCATTAGACCATAAGGAAAGAGCATGATCAACAAGGTGTGTATGTACCAATAAACCTCTTCTACTGCACTGGGAAAACCGCTTTGCTTAGACTTTAATTTGATTTCTTAGAATATTTAATTGTTGTTTCAAATGTTTATCGCATTATACATAACCGCTTGCATTCCCTCAACACCGATATACGCTTCTTGAAGCAATCTGACATCATCTCCAATCCACTTCTGACCAACCGCGTAACCTGAAAACAAAATCTTCTGTTAATTAAACCCGAAACCGCAAACCCATGTAAAGAAGTCATTCCCATGGAAAAGACATCACCAATGCCTTTTGTTTAGGTGACGATCAGCAACAAATAACAGAGGCAAATCCTCTGGCTAAATCAAACTTTTTCTTGAAATCATTTTCAAGATTGACTTCCCGTCAATGATGATCAAGGCTGTTGTTTATTTATCAGTAAACAACTGAGAAATTTCCTCTGCCTTTTACATATTTAACCAAGCAAGAGAATGAAAATCGAGAGCTTCATATATAGTTTCTTGCTTTGGTTGACTTTTTAAACTTGGACGATGGACTCAATCCCGCTCAATGCTAGGTTTGCTACTGAAATTCTTGGCCTCGAGAGGGAGAGAAGAGGCAGATGAGTGATCACACAAACATTACAATATTGCGTCTGAGGTTTAAATTCCATAATGAGGGAACGCCTCTTGTAAACAAAATTTACTCGTGAGATTCGAGGGACATATCAAATGTTTTGTATAAAATATTTTTGGTGTTCAACTTGGTTGCATTTATAGTAATATACCGATGAAAAATTATGATTTCGTATAGATAATTATCTTAAGTTAGATAGATGTATTACAAAGTAGTAGTAGTAGACTTTTATTTAGATATGAGATATCAAACTTTGAAAATAAGTAACTTTTCTCTTAGACCAAGGATGTAGGAAAAAGAAATCGAGAGACTTTGTTAAGGAATCATATTTTACCAGACCGCGGGAATAGCAATGTGAGAGTAGAATCTTCTTATTCTTGCATACTGCCACTGGTGTGGATGGCTCAAATAAATCCTTCTGTCTCCAATTAAAATAATCGCGAATCTCAACCCGAGAAGAAGAACAAGAAAGCAAATCTATGGTGAAAATCTTCTCCCATGTGTCTTCTGATGGTTTTAGCCTCCAAATATCTTGGATCATAGTATCGTTTTCTCTTTTCGACATACACAAACTATTATCCAGAGTGCACATGTCAATATGGTGAGGATCTGAACCAGCAATAGCCGGATTTATCTTAGGCAGCAACCGGAATGTTTCGGTATGAATATCAAAAGCCACTACTTCGATTCTTTCATTATATGGTTCCGTAAACCAATAAACCGACCCGTTTGCAGATGCTGGCTTTTGGTCATAAAATATCCGATGACTTGGAGTGCAAGCCAAGTACCTCCAAGCATTTGCCCTAAAGTCAAAAACCTCACACTTTGTGACTCCCACGTTTGGACTCGACGCATCAGCAATGTACTTATCACAATTATACAACCACACTAATTTGTAATCGGTGGCCTTCACGAATGCTAGATGAAAGATTGATTTCATTTCTATATTCCACTCATGATCAGTGGGGTTAAACTTGTGGATCAAAATCTGAAACCCAGCCGGAGGAAGTAGGCGGAGCCACTGTGTAGCCGGATTAACTACATATACTGAATGTGATTTTGGTGAATGGATACAGAAAAGGCCATCACAGCTTTCAGAGATTTTGATCCAGTGGAAGAACCCTTGAGGGAAATTGAGACGAGTATAGGATAGAAGAGAAGCCGATTCCAAGCAGATCGTCCTAAAACCAATGTCTGTGAACGGACGATACCCGATTTCTCTTATGGGATCTTCTTCTGTGATGACCATGACCTTGGGATGATCCATGCAGGCTTGCTTAGCGAGCTTCAAGTGTCTCTCTTCAAAACTGCGAGACTCTATCGTTGATCTCCAATGTTTTGAGAGAGACTTGAGTCGGATTAGGGCTTTCACCGGAAATCTTAAGAAGATTTCTTCTACGATGTCGTTTGGTAGTGATGATGGAGCCTTTACTCGCTTCTCGTTTCTTCTTCTTCTTTTCCTTATTGTTCTTCTCATTCTTCTTCTCTTTCGCTTTCTTAGTGATGACGATGATGCCATTACCACTTGCTTCTCTGCCTCCATCATGCTCTCTGCGAGTATGGAAAAGGTCTTTCATATGTTAAAACAAAAATCTTGTTCATCGAATATATAGCTAAACCACATATATAATTATCTCTTAAAATTAATGCTCAAGATCGGGTCAAACTTGGAAATAAATATCAAAATTAATAAATGGAACTAAATCAATCAGTAATAATCGAATCAATTTTACATAAGTAAGTTTTACATTTTACAAATTTTATTACATATGAGCAAGAAAGAGTACCATATGTATTTATACATTAATATATATAGGCATGATAGAATTAGGAAAATCAAAGAATAAATAGAACAAAAATTTGAAGAAAAGTAAAAGCAATATAGACACTCCGAAAAATGGAATAAAATCTTCAATAATTTGAATTCAATTGTCTTGACTCATATATCTTGACCAAATTTAAACATCAATATTCACTTTGTGATCTTACTGCTTATCATTCTTAAAAACTCCACAATCTCCACCGCCTTTGGATTAAAGAAAACAGATTATTAAATGCATTCGAAATTCTTCATCGACGGAAAAACACAAATTTAGGAAACAAAAGATTCTTTTTTTTTTTTTTGGTCATGAGGAAACAAAAGATTCTTGACACACAAGATATTTGATATTTATTTTATCAAAAAAAAATATATATTTGATATTTATCTCTTAATTTTTTTGTTATTTCGTTCTAGCCTTGTGCGTTCTTTTTGTTTTAAATTAGGTTCCCCCCGCTTCGCATACTGATTAGTGTTTAGATTAAATCATGTATATTTGGCAAAGATTTTTTTATAGAAAGGAAGTGTTTTTGTAGCCTTTCTTCCATCAGTCATGGTTAATTAAACTCTGTCTGGACAATTGTACACGTTCGTAAGGAACATATAAGAACATCGGCGGCTATTTTGGTCTCTTTTCTTGACTCAACAATAGCTAAAGTTAGTTGATTTGGTTTATGGTGGTTTGACTGGGTTGCGCTAGCTGTAAAATAGTAGGCTATGGAGTGTCGTTTACGTGGATGGGACGTGACATCGATAGTTGTGGTTCCGTCCAAGTAGCTTATGTCTGATGAGAGTGTGTGCTTTTGGCATGGTCGACGCGTCTCTCAATGCTCGTTGGTGTTTGGTTTGTCCCGTAGAGAATTCCATGCACGTTTGAGATGCTTTGCTAGCGAATGTACGTTGTGTCCAGCAGTTGGACTCGTAATAAGACCTATATGAAGCTTAAATACATGTCTCTTTGGATCCTACAAAGACAATGTGGTGTTGATATATCTTGTTGGATAGAACTTGTTGGGAGTAGTTTCCTTGATGTGGTGTCCTCGTGTTATGTTAGTTGGCTTTCTGTGGCTACCCGAAAAAACATCTCTATTTGATTTTAATTTTATTGTTTTCCATTTGTTCATACAGAGAATATTTTATCGAATGAAAATAAAATTTTATCAGTAACAATTAATTTGAAAAATATTAGATAATAAATTATCTTAAATTATAAAATTTAACTGAATATGTACTACAACATACATTACTTCATTTTTTTTTTCTAACTTAGATTAGTTTTCGTGCATTTGAGTTTGGTAACCTAAAGTTTGTTTGATTAATTCACCAGCGATACCTCTTTTGTTATCTAGAAAAACAGTCTAGTATTGACAAAGTATTCAAGTATTTGTTTTGACCAAGAAAATTTATATGAGTCAAAAGTCTGGAAGTTTTAACAAAAAATAATTAAATTTAATATGTTTTGTTTAAAGTTATTAAAAAATCAAGTAGGCTTTTATACAAACTAAATTTAGTTTCGATTCAAATAATTTATACTTTATTTTAACTTTGGTTTTTGTGTGCATCTCTACTTTTAGATCATCGAATAATCTTGGGTTTATTCTTGGTTTAGGGAAAACATGTTTTATTAGTGAGGCAAAGTACACGCGTTCTTCCACTTTGGTTTTTGTTTGTCTATATTCACTTTAGGTATTTATTCCAAAAGCTGTTACAATTTGAATGAAAGCGACTATTAAATTATATTCATCCACTTTGAACAAAGAAAAAAAAAAATATATTCATTCACATACAAAAAGCCATCTCAACTCAAAGTTTATACTAATCAGCTTATTAAACAAGAAAAACACATTTAATTTTGTCATTAAGAAGAAATACGAATTTTTCTTCAAACATGATTAATATATAAATAAAAAGCTAGCAACCGTGAAACAAAGAATCAAAAAGGCAAAAAGAAGGAAAAAAAGCAAAAAGAGAGAGAGAGAAGAAGAAGAAGTGAGACTTGTGTTCTTACGGTGTTTATAGCTTCTTTGTTTTGTCTTTTAGGTTCTTGCCTTTTTCCGATCAATCAGACCAATCCCTCCTTCACTTTTAGCATCTTCTTCTTCTTTCATCTTATTCTCTTTCCTTGTCTTTATATATCTGGGAATTTTCTTCAATCGATTCCTCTTTGTTGTAATCACAAATAGAGAGAGATATGTATAATCAGTTGGCGATATCTTCTTCTTCATCATCTTCTTCTTCTTCTTCGTACTATGAATCTTTGAAGATTTTGGAAGCTGATGTTCAACATGCTAATTCTTTGTAAGTCGTTTTTTCTGGGTTTCTCATAAAGTTTAAGACTTTAGTTTGAAATTGTTTGATTAGTTGAGCTATAAGAGTAAAAGTTGGTGACAGAATTGAAAACCCAGCTGAGAATTTTAGGTCTTCTCATCAAATTTGGGTTATTTTAGGAAACTCCGATGGACTTTTTGTGTTTAGTTTTAGAAAGCTTTCACAAATGGAAAAATCTGGAAAAGTTGTTGGTTTATATATTCTAATTTAAGCAAATTTAGAAGCTTTTTTGGCTCTAGGTTTCAAACTTGTTATTGCACATGTTCTGTTCGATGAATTGTGTATGAGAAGTTTGAGCTTTATATCTTTTTCAGGGCAGAAGCAATTCCAATGGGGAAGAACAATGTGCGGCTTCAGATGAAATTGGTTCATAGTAACTTTGCTTCATTATTGTTGATCTTGCTTCGGTGGATTGATCTTTCTTGCTCATGTCTTATTCCTCGCTACTTAAACCTCTTTCATGTTCTTGTCTACAAGGTTAGTTTTTATAAGTCTTCTTTGATCTCAAAATGTCGTCTTTTATTGGGGATATCGATGTCCTGACTATAAGCTTTGGTGGCTGAAATTTCTCATTTTGTTGCCATTTGTTGTCATATTTCCTTGGTAAGGTCCAGTCTGATGGACAACCTAAGCTTACCACGCACGGAAGGAAAGCAACTATTAGTGAGTTCTACGGTAAGCAAACCTGTAACCATTGATCAAAAATGTTATGATGTTCATGTTTTTGCTGTTGAACGTTTAATATGAGTCTGTTTGTGTCTCCATATTTGTCCCTAATGTCTTGTGTTTTGTAGGTGTGATACTACCATCACTTCAGCTATTGCACAGCAACTTAGATGAGTTGGAAACCGCAGACATTGGGTTTGACCTTAAGAGACTCAGCAAGAAGATAACAAAAGAAGCTCGCAGTAGTAGATTCAGCAATGCCGGGTTAGAGCGTGAAGAAGAATGCGGAATCTGTTTAGAAACTTGCACCAAAATGGTGTTGCCTAATTGTTGTCATTCTATGTGCATCAAATGCTATCGCAATTGGTATATATACACACACACACTTTAGTTTTATGACCTTTGTGACCTGATGAAGAGCTTTCATTTACTAAATCTCCATTGCTTCTCAAATCTGCAGGAACTTGAAGTCCCAGTCATGCCCGTTTTGTCGAGGCAGCATGAAGAGAGTGAACTCAGAGGACTTGTGGGTGCTTGCAGGTGATAACGACGTGGTGGATACAAGGACGGCTTCAAGGGAAGATTTGTTCAGATTCTATCTCTACATCAATAGCCTTCCCAAGGATTACCCAGAAGCTCTCTTCGTGGTTTACTACGAGTACTCAAATCTGTTATAGAATCTGGACAAACAAAACTTTGTACAGATTTTTAGATGGTAAATGTAATGTATAGAATGTAAAACTGTGGTAAGGCTTTTGGATGATTTGATGCGAATGCCAAAGCTCTCAGTTTTTACATACTTAATAATTGTGAAATTGCGAGAAAAGAAAAAATAGCTTGAATGCAGCAAATAATAAAGGTCTCCTTTCATCTTTTTTCCCTTAACCAAACGACATTCTTGAAGCTATGATGATTCACAATAACAAATGTAGAACCATCAATAAAACAAAACATAGTTTACAAATATATGCTCGTCTCCAAAGACTGACTATCAGTAAATAAAGTATAGAGAAACATTGTATCCAATATTTGATAATAAAGACTAAAGAGATAGATTTAGTAGGCAGAGTAACTTAAAAATGGCCTCGTTTAGATGCAGCAAGAGAGAGACGAAGAACATAAGAGGTTCTTTCTCAGTCACCTCGTCTCCTCTTTCCATAGTCTGCATCTCTTGACCTGGACCTATGATCATCTTCTGACATTCTTGATCTGCTTCGAGATTTCACGCTAGATTGTCCTCTATCGAACTCATCAGAATCACGGTCTCTCTGCTGCTTATACTCACGATGACTATCTTTTTCTTCACGGTGACTCTTGTGTCTTCTGTCACCACTGTTCTCGGACCAGTCACGTTCCGTGGTAGCCCGTTCTTTATCTCGTGATGGCTTTTCTTCTTTCTCTTGGTTTTCATCTTCATACCCACCATATTCAGAACCACCCTCTTCACCACCACCACCTCCATTAGCTTCGCTCCACATCGCTGCTGCATGAACTCCATTCATCCCCGCGCTACCCATTGTTCCCATTCCCGTGCCAAAAAAGGCTGGATTGACATGAGGAGCAATCCCAACCATTCCCATTGCATTAACACCTGGATAAGAATGAGGCATCCCAGGGTAGGCAATACCTGAATACCCTCCATAACCACCACCCCGACCCATGAATGTTGGATCAAACCCAGCAGCTCCCATCATACCCTGTGGATGCATCATGCCACCAAATGCAGGACCAGCTAGTCCAGGCCCATACGGCCCAGTACCAGAACCACTAGCCATGTTGTTTGGCCCTCTACCTCTCATTCCACCACCCCAAGGACCTCCACGGTTGCTCATTCCTTGGCCACCACGAGCAAACCCACCTCTACCATAATTTCTTCCACCATCTCCATTTTGCGTATTCATGTTGTTGTTGTTGTTGTTACCTCTTCCCATTCCTTCATTCAGAGGCCTTCTGTTTTGAATTTGGTTTTGTCCTTGGTTCCTCCCTGTGAAATTAGCTCCCATCTGCTTCAGTGTTTCAGGAGAAGCAAAGGCTACAACACATGCTTTACCGTTGAAAATGTAACCATTCATTCCTTCTTTGCAAGAGGCTGCAGCAGCTGAATCGTAGAATTCAACCTGACAATACCCTTTAGATTTGCCACTAACTCTCTCGTCGAAAAACTTGATCTCTTTGACTCTTCCATACTGAGAAAGAACACTCTCAATCTCTGCATCCGTCGTCCACCAGTGTAACTCTCCAACAAAAAGCATGGTGTTTCCATTGTCCACAACAAATGGCTGCGTAGGGCTTTTGTTCATCATTACATTTGGATTCACACTCATCTGGCTAACAGGAATCTGCTGAGCACCTTGAGGCGGAGCACCATAGGAGTTATGCACAGGCAGCTCAGGCACATTTACCGCATTCCCTGAAAAACCATGGTTGTTTAACACAACAGATGTTGATCCTTGTTGTCCGATTTTGTTGGATTGGATATCAATATTCAACCCTTTTCCTCCAAAAGAAGAAGCTTGTGGATAAACATCTGATCTTGTGTCTGATCCACTGATTCCATTATGCCCTCCATCGTTTCGATACTTCCCTTCAACCGTACCTCCAGAGACAATTCCCATTCGCGGTTCAGCAGCAACATGACTATTCTGAGCTTGAAGGCTTGCATTACCCGTACCACCGACCTGAGCTGGTGGTTGAGGCTGATTATGAGCTTGGAAGAAACTCTCACCGACATTAACATCGCTATACAGATCATCGTACTCATCATCGTCTCCCATAAGTTCTTCATCCGCTAGCGCAGGTATAGTTCCACTTCCTTGATGTAGTATCTTCTGATTACCTCCATAGTCGTTTTCTTCAGTCATTGAATTTATACAAACTGGCCAGAAAATACGAGAAGATTAAACAATACATCCTTTACATGAAGAACTTAAACAAAAAAAATACATCTTTTAACAGAAATTACAATCTGCCTATTCAATTAGGCTCAGACTCATTACAAGACATTGATGAACAACATCAAATTAGATATCTGTGTACTCCAAAGAATAAAAACAGGAACTTTAGCTAATAGATCTGAAAATTTGGGGATCTAGCTCTCCATTAAACGATTTTAATAAGGGTGTTACAAGATCCATATAGAGGAGATCAAATTACATACATAGTGTGATTTACAATGAAGAAATTGAACAAATAGAGAAATCTAAAACATTAGGGTTCTTACAAAATCGAAAAAGACATAAACTAGATCTACGAGGAAAGTTACAGTTCAACGAGATAGTAAGAACATGGATTAAACATTAGAAAGCTTCGAAATCGAATTGCCTCGTGAAATCGAGGATCGAAAGGAAAAGAAAAAAAAAAACCTAGGCTTGCTTACTTTGACTCCTTGTTGCTTCGCTGCCTTCTCCGTCTACGGAAGTTGAGATTCTGACAAGCTCCGGAATTGTTTTACCGACGAGAATCAGAGCTTCAACGAAAGATTTTTGATGAGATCGGAGGAAGAGAGAGTCGTAGATGTTCTTTCTTATCCGATAGAGAGAAGAAACAAATGAAAGAAAGCGCTTCTTTTCACCGTGATGTCAACAGTTTCTCGTAACAAACTTTATTTACATGTTTTTTTTATGCGTTAATAATGTACTTTGTTGAAACATATCAAAGATATTTGTTTTAAGTGTATGTCAAAAAAAAAAAAATGATTTTGTATAATTTAGTATTTACCATTTCATGCCTAATTGATATTTTAACGAATTTGTATAAAAATATGTGTTTTAAAACCCAACTTTATATAATAAGATATGTGTTTTATTTTTTTATATAGTGTTATCATGTGTGTTCCTTCACCTTGAGAATTTACCTCTAATATAAGCAACTCCTGAAAATATAAATGGTGAACAATGATATGTATATATTGCAAAAACAAACCAAAAAAAGCTTAAGAGGAAATGAAAATCTGACTTCTACATACTTTTTCTTTTTGCTTTGTCTGAAAACAATATGCCTTCTACATCAAGCCTAGCTTACACTGTGTACTCAAGAACCCTAAAGTAACTGAAATGAAGTATTTCAAACAAACATTCACAGGATCTGCTGATGAATTATTTATGAAGCAGCTTCAATACATTCCCTTGAACACCGGATTTGTGCGGCATATGCCTGCTCCATATTCCTCATACTCCTCTTTCGTTCTGCAGCTCTGCAACAACATCAACAACAACAAAAACACATCTTGTTTCAGAACAATTAAGCCATGAGGTTTAGCTTGAAACTAGCGGATCTCTAAATCGGTTTGCATACCGCGAAAAACTCAGGAGTTGATGAAAGGACAGAGCCTCCAAACCAAACTGCAAACCTCTGGACTGGATGGCTCACGACATTAACCTCCACCGGTTGAGACTGTGGTTATAAATATTAACACAGGTTAATGGAAACTGGTTATATATAATACTTTTGTTTTGCAGGACATCATGTTAAGTTTCTACCGTAATTTCGCCACCAGTACGAGCGTTATTTGCAAGAACACGAGCATCAACAATCTTCTTGAGATCTCTTTGTAACCTTCTTCCGAAATCTTTAAACATAGTTGAACCTCCGGACAACACTATATTCTGAAATGATTTCACAAATCCATCAGTACCGCGGATTGGAAATGATCTTAAAACTCTGACCAGTCTTTGTGTTTCAAACCTTATATAAAGCTCTTCGTGTGTCAATTGGTGCAGACTGAATACATTTGTCTATCACAGCTGGTAAAGTGGTTGTGAAGTCATTGCTGTATATCTCTGGATTAAAGAATACCTGTAACACAAAATCTCAACATTACACATAGGTAATAGCAGAACAAAAGCGCAAGTAACAATAAGGGAAATTATGTTCCACTGTCCAGTTACTCTCTCGGTTCACTGATACAGAGGACATTAGCTTCCTATGGGTCCAGTAGAGACAGCTGAACTCTAACTAGATAAGAATTAGTTCCAGACTTCCAGTTAACTTCCTTTTTAACATAATATGACTGAGTAATTACCTAATTTTAGTTTCTGAGAGAGCATAATTTTATATCAGCACCGTTCAGTAATCAGAAAGAGTGCTGAAAATATCTTATAATCGATAACAAATCATGAACAGCTTACTGACATACCACAAACTCATGCACCAGAAAAGAAATCCGGTCTCCGATTCTGGCCATCTTATCAACTTACAACTTTTTATAACAGAGAGATGGTAACAAACCTCGGGTCCAAGGAATCGTTCATATCCCACGTCGCAAGTGTATGGTGCACCAGTCTTTGGCTTTACACCTTTCCATTGTTTAATATACTTTGCTGGTTCTTTGTCGTGTTTATTAAACTCCTGCAACCATATGAATGTTCAGTGATCTTTTTCTATTTTTCTGTGTCCAACGTCGAGCAATTTCAGCATACAGGCCAGCAATCACTTATTAAACAAAGTTCTTTGACTTGAACATTAACCACTAAGTATTACCTTTACGATGTCAGAACAAGTGTAGCAGTACATTTCCTTCACTTTACGTGCTACATCGAATGAATCTTCTGGTGGTATATTCTCACCTCTTTCCTACAGAAAGCATTGAAATAAGAAGTTCCATGAATGTAATACATTAACTCCAACCAGTATATAAGTATAACATTTAACACAAATAAACTGGACAACGAGCTACCATACAACACAAAACTTGGATTATACTCATGTAACCACTTATGCACCTTTGAAAACTTGAAATTTCGCAGAGAAAGATTGAAAAACAACTATGGAAGAAGACAGAAACTATATTAAGATAAATTAATGCATACCCGCATGAGTTGCTGGATAAAGAGGGTGACATCTTTGCCAGCAATTGGGATTGATTTGATACAGCTCCCAATAACATAACCTTCTGCAACAGGTACAACATGAGTTGCCCCATCTCCAACATCTACTACAACCCCTGTCATCTCACACTAAGAAGAACTGTAAGTCAAACTAAGAGGCGAGAATAAAAAAACAGAACAAAAGGCAAGGGAACACGTTTAATAGTTGCTAAATCTAATATTAGAGGAGTTACACTAACATTTTGAAACTCAGCCCCCTCAAAACAAAACTGAATAGAGTATAGTCAAGAACTAACTACATGGAAACCAAATACATTGTCCAGCACCTCGAATAAAAGGATTTCATACAAATTGACAGCAAGTAGCCTAATACATATCATTTCATCCCAGCAAACAAATTAAATACTTGGAGAAAAGAAATGTGCGACATACCTTTGATGTTGTGTACCCAGCAGCAAGTGCAAGAACTGAATTAACAGCAATGTAAAGCCCGGGAACATTAAAAGTCTCAAACAAAATTTCTCCAGTATATTCTCGACTTTCAGGAGGAGTAAGAGGACTTTCAGTAAGAAGAAAATAATGATCCTCTGGATCACATCTCAAATAGTTAAATATACACTGCTGCCAATATCTTTCCATAGCATCCCAATCCTCAACTTGACCATGCTCAATTGGATAATGAAGATTATGAGTACTACTAGACCGCGATTTCGCAAGGGCTTCATCTCCGATATAGAAATCAAGATCCGCAGCAACTCCAGCGTTGTGCTGAGTTTGCCAAGTTGCCTTAGAAGAACTCTTGGATTGATTCAAAAACGACTCGTTAACAGCAACTACTGTTGGTAGAATAAAACATGGCTCTACATTACCCGCAAATCCCATTTTAGTATACCTGCAATACACACACACACACACGCACACAGATGAATCTACCAAGGGAAGAAGATCTAATTGCAGCATTTCATCAAACACGTTAAGCGCATAAACCAATTAAAACGTACCCGGTTCCATTGTCGATGACAACAGCGGGTCGGGAAGTCGGATCCATTAGAGAAACTACGCCGGCGATCTCTAAAGCAAAATCAGCTCACCAGAGGGTGAAGGATCTGCGACTGGAGATCCGAAACAGTATCCAATTAAAGATCGATTATATCTACCCTTAAAACACTAGAAAACCCTCCGATCGAACCTAAGCTTGCTTATTTCTCGCGCCTTCCGTCAACGGAAGTTGAGTTTCCGACAAGCTACCACGTAATTTCTCACTCGTAGGCTATGAGAAGCAATGTAGGGAGAGAGAAAACAGAATTGATTTTCCCGGAAAATTAGAGATTCCCGTGAAATTCAACGAACTCAGATCATAGACAAAGTCGCCGTCGTCGATTTGTACTTTATCGTGTGAGATTTTTTCCGATAGAAAAAACAAATGAACTAGTAGTACTGTTTTAAAATTTGGCTTCGTCCTTATGCTTTGTGGTTAATTTGGTTTAACTGAACCAAACCGATTCAATAACCAAGTCTGATTAATAAACCAAACAAAGTTCAATAAAATTGAACCATACTTGACTGATTATCATCATTACAAATTTTGTTTGGTTTATTCAAAGGTGTGTCTGTTTAAAGTTTAAACACCTCATATTCGTCTTTGTAACAAACCAAGTTAATTGGGGACTTCAATAATATGAAAGGTAATCATCATAACACACATAATGTTTGATATATGATTACTGTTAATCGGATTAACTTAATCCTATTGATTAGGATGTGTAGTCAAGACTCAAGACAAGACAAAAACAATCTTAGATCTTCATTCCAAAAAAAAAAACCAATCTTAGAACTTAAGTGATAACGACGCTTGAACTACCGTACAAAACCTATGAGAACTTGAGATTGAAGTCTTGTTATCACTTGAGATCTAAAATGGTTCCTCGTCTTTAGAAATAATGTGGTTAACTACACTTGAACATCCAGAAACCGAATAGTGTAGATTGTTTTCAATGAAAATTTTCTAGTATTTAGGCTTTTAGTATATCTTATATAGTCCCTATTTCTCAAATTTAAACAATAATTAAGGGGTAATTGCTATTTTAAAGGTTTTGAAAATTTTATACAATTCACTGTTATTGGTTCTTGAATTATCAAATTCTTAGTAAAAATCCATTTATTACTACTGGTTTGTGAAACTTTTAAATTTCATTCTAAATATTTGTTATTCAAAAAGCTAGTTACCAACGATTCTCTGATTCTATTAAAATCTAAATGTTATTAGGATATGGATTTTTACTATTTTATTCACGAAATACAACATTCACTAAATCATAGATATTTGTGAGATTCTTAAACTTTAGGTAAAAAAAAAAAATACACACACACATATATCCCACAAACAAAACAACCTATTGGCTTTTTTCTTTGGTTAGTTTGAGTATCACTTCTTGTAATCTTAGTCATTAACTCATCATAGATTCATAATAGTATAAAACATAACATACTTATTTTCACAATCATGACCATAAAACTCAAAGTTCTAATACTAATTTGTTAAAAAAGAGAGGCAAAATCAAACAGAAAACGTAAAACATAAAACACAACATATGACACAAAATAAACTCATATAGTGAGTGCATGAAAACTAGGTTCGCGATTTGGTGAGTTTGGATTAACTCCTCCGTACCGTCTTCATCCCATTAAGGCATCGTGGACTTAAGACCATCATTTCATCTACTGGGCTCGACATAGCAACTTTTATTTAATCCCTTATTGGGCTTGTGTTGGTCTTAACTAAAATGCTGTACTAGTACTTGTACAACTCTTGGTTCCTTTTATTTTTATCCATTAGAAAAAAAGCACAAAATATTTTGAATATGTAATTGAGTATTGGTACCGAATATTTTGGTTATTGAGACCAATAAAAAAAAAAAGACAGTACCAATTAGTAATTTATTTTTGTTTGAAACAAATATGGAAATTTGATACATAATCTAATATCCTCGACTAGCATTGGTCCATAGAAAAACACAATTATATGTTGACTCAGAGCATTAATAGTAATTTAATATTACCTTTTTTATATTTTCATGATTTAATTTTAAACGATTCAGAGAGATGCTCCCTCTCTCTCTCTCTCTCTCTTTGCAGTCTCTGCACTGCACAAACACAAATTTTTACTGACAACTGCCTTAAATTGGATCTGTGAGCCCTCTCTCTTCCTCTGACAAATCTCCATTATCTCTCTCTTCTTCTTCTTCTTCACCTTCATTGCTCTCTCTGCTTTTTCATTTTCTTCAATTCAAACTCAACATTCTTCGATCTCCATCACCGGATCTCAGATTCTTCAGCTGAAGCTTGATCACCGGTTGCTGTTTTAGGATCTGGCTTCAAATGTTCTTCGATTCGTAGTATCAATGTTGTTTGATTCGATTGTTTTGAGATTATTATGAATCCTCTTTGCTGCATTGCTCCTGTTTCGATTGATGACCGGACTAATCCCGTCGTAGCTAAATCATCAGCGGGGACAGCGAATCACCAGTCTCAGTTAGGGGTTGAATCTCTTCCGGTAACGAAATCTGGTAGTAACCACGCTTCTAAGCCGTCGTTTTCGACTCAGGCTTCTTGGATCAGCCAAGATCAGTTAGAGAGACTCTCTTCTGAAGTAGTAGATGACGTGAATCTCGAGGGGAAAGATGCTTCTTCTTCTTCTTCTAAAGGATGTTTCTTCTTTGGGAATGGCGTCGGTGCTGGAGCTGGTGTTGCTGGGATTATGTATAAGTGGGTGAACTATGGGAAAGGGTGGAGAGCTAGATGGTTTGAGCTGGAGGACGGTGTTTTGTCGTATTATAAGATCCATGGACCTGATAAGATTGTGATGAATCCGTCTAGAGAGAAAGGTGTTAGGGTGATTGGTGAGGAATCTGTGAGGTACATTAGGAAAGCTAGCTGCGGTAGTAGCAACCGCCTTGGAGCTTCTGCAGTAGCAGCTTCAAGGCCTTGTAAACCATTTGGAGAAATACATTTGAAGGTCTTAGTTTAATCCAACTCATTGCTTACTGTTTGTTTGTGCTTTGATGTTGCATGGAAATTATTTACTCTGCTTTCCTTTAAGCTGGCAGCTGAGTTTGTAGTGCTTTATTATTGTAGGTTTCTTCGATTCGAGCGAGCAAGTCTGATGACAAAAGGCTTGCTATATTTACTGGGACAAAGACTCTTCATTTACGTTGTGTATCGAGAGATAATCGAGCAGCCTGGGTAGAAGCTTTGCAGGTGGCCAAGGATCTTTTTCCTAGAGTGGCCAGCAGCGACATCCTACCCTCAGAAGATGCGGTTGTATCGACCGAGAAGTTGCGTGAAAAGTTACTGCAGGAAGGCGTTGGTGAAACAGTAGTAAAAGATTGTGAAGCCATCATGCTTTCAGAAGTTTCTGTGCTGCAGAACCGGTTGAAGGTTCTCACACATAAACACATTATACTACTGGATACACTAAGACAGTTGGAGGTATGTTATAGTTCTTCCCTATGCACGCATTTTGATATGGACCTATTTATCTCGAACTTTTACAATTCTTTGGGTGTAAGTTATATGTTTCTTGCAGCCATAGACTCTAGTTTAATCAAATCATATCACTGCGATTTCACATTGAACATATTCCACTATCAGCCTCCTGTTTCTCGTCTGCTTCACTTGGTTTACAGTTTTTCAGCTTCACAGTGGAATAATTGATTTGGTTTTAAAAAATCATTTGCAGACTGAGAAAATAGAGCTGGAAACTACTGTTGTTGATGAAACAAAGGAGCATGACTCTTGCTGTGGACAGGGAAGACGATTTAGTGGTGAGTTACATTACATCGCTTGCAGCTGCCTGTTTGTGGATCCTCGATGTGTATATTATCTCACTATTTTTTAATTATATATGGAACGATTGGAGGTCTGGCTGATTGTAAATTCTTCCTTGACTCAGTTGAGACAGCTTTAACGTTTAAACATCATTGTTCTCCTACAGATTTCTATTCAGTGATGTCAGAGGTATCTGCAAGCGATTCTGAGGCAGATAATGAAAGTCAAGATGGAGCAGATGTTGAATCTGATGAAGATGATGTACCTTTCTTTGATACAAATGATATCCTATCAGCCGAAGCACTGAGAAGTGCTTCTTATCGTAGCAGAGAAGCTGAAGGAAATGGATCTATCTACGATAAAGACCCCTTCTTTTCTGACCGCTTGCAAGTTCCCGCTAGGATTCCGCAGTATCCATATGTCAGAAGAAGGGATAATTTACCGGAGCCAAAGGAGAAGGAAAAGCCAGTTGGATTATGGTCAATCATCAAAGAAAACATTGGCAAAGACTTGTCTGGAGTTTGTCTCCCGGTATATTTTAATGAGCCTCTCTCTTCTCTGCAGAAGTGCTTTGAGGATTTGGAGTACTCATACTTGATAGACAGAGCACTTGAGTGGGGGAAGCAGGTCAGGTCATTCAGCCCTTTTTTATTTTAGTACAATACAGGAAAGAGTGGTTTATTCTGATATGAAATATTTTTCCAAAACATTTGTTTTGCTAGCCTAGTTTGAAATGTCCATAACATTATATTGCTGGCCGCCTAACAGTCGTTCTCATTTCAGGGTAATGAATTGATGAGGATTCTAAACATAGCAGCGTTTGCCGTATCTGGCTATGCGTCCACGGAAGGCAGGCAATGCAAACCTTTCAATCCTCTACTTGGGGAGACCTATGAAGCTGATTATCCAGATAAAGGACTTCGTTTCTTCTCTGAGAAGGCAAGTCAACCATCACAGCATTCTCCTCTTTTTATTGCAGAAGCTGTATTGAAAAATCATGCATGAAATGTGAAAAATGTTACAACAGATTATCTTTCTACATCTATCAGACATATATATAATCGCAACCCCTCACCTTTTCTGCCAACATAATTCTCTTGTTCAGGTGAGTCATCATCCTATGATTGTTGCTTGCCATTGTGAGGGACAAGGTTGGAATTTCTGGGGAGACTCAAATATCAAAGGAAAATTTTGGGGACGGTCAATCCAGCTTGACCCAGTGGGTGTCTTGACATTAAAATTTGATGATGGTGAGATATATCAATGGAGCAAGGTTACCACTTCCATATACAACATCATCCTTGGTAAACTTTACTGCGATCATTATGGTACAATGCGCATCAAAGGCGGTAGCAATTATTCTTGCCGGTTGAAGTTCAAGGAGCAGTCAGTCATAGATAGAAACCCTCGTCAGGTAGTAGAATGATTTTTAATTTTCTCTTTCTGCTCGTATGAATCGGCCTTTAATGGAATTTGTGAATGCAGGTTCATGGGTTTGTGCAAGACAACAGAACCGGGGAGAAAGTAGCTATACTGATAGGCAAATGGGATGAAGCAATGTACTATGTATTGGGAGATCCGACAACAAAACCAAAGGGATATGATCCAATGACAGAAGCGGTGTTACTGTGGGAAAGAGACAAATCTCCTACAAAAACAAGATACAATCTCTCTCCTTTTGCAATCTCTCTCAATGAGATAACTCCTGGGATGATAGACAAATTGCCTCCAACAGATTCAAGACTGAGACCAGACCAAAGACACTTAGAAAACGGTGAATATGAGTCAGCAAATGCCGAGAAACTGAGACTTGAACAGTTACAGAGACAGGTACAAAATCTATAGGAGAATATGTTAAATTTTGACTATATACAAACGTAATTGTGCATGAGCATGGTAAGTAGCATAGGACTGAATGTAGAAGAGTGTCCCGTTTGTGTGTTGCAGGCAAGGAGGCTGCAGGAGAAAGGATGGAAACCGAGATGGTTTGAAAAGGATGAAGAAGGGAATTATCGGTATCTAGGAGGTTACTGGGAAGCAAGAGAGAAGAAAGATTGGGATAGAATCACTGACATTTTCAAGAAGCAGCAACAGCGTAACACGCTCTCATCTTCTTCATCGTCTACCTTTCTTTAACCATCAATCATCCCATGTTTTTTTTTGTGCTTTGATAATTTAATACATATAGAAAGATCTTCACCGGAACCTTTGGCCAAATTTGGCCGGAACCTTTGTTGGTGTGTGCATCTGTAGATGTCAAAGAGACTTATTATTGGAAATGATGAATTTTTCCTTAGAATCCAGATTTTCATGTTTGTGAAATGGTGGTAAAAACCAAATAAGGAACAAAAACAGGAATTTATTACTCCCACTGTAAATAAAATGTATGATGACAGGCAAAAACGACAACGTTTTATGCCGAGACCTCAATATCAAAACTGCAGTTATAGGACAAAACATAATTATGCAAAAAATGAAAGAACCAAAACAAAACTGTGATTAGTTTTGAGACAGAAGAATAAAGTTCACTTCCAAGCTTTCCTTCCTCTAAACTGGCTTCCGCTGATGCTATTCTTCATCTTCTTAGTTCGCTTTGATTTCCCAGCCTTTGATCTAATTGCAGCAAGAGGCATATTCTTCCTGTGCTCCTTCTGTTTATTGCTTGATCCTCCCGTCTTCTTCTGTTTGACGGCAGCCTTGGATTTGTATTTCCCTCGGTCCTCCCTACCCGCTTTAACTAATTCCAGTCTTTGTTCTTTTGTTAGTTTATGCCTTATGTGAGCCTGTGGATAGAATTAAAATCACTTAGTATTGAGTATGCCATTCATTTTGTGACTAAAATTGAGCTTTCTTATAGTAACAGCTTACTTCAAGTTTGGCTGGATCGACCCGCTTCTTGCTTAGCTGATCAGAATCCGGAACCTTGAATCCTTTTCGAGCCAATGCAATTTTTGCTTCCTTCTTTGCCTGTATGTGACACACAGCATCAGTAACGTGGGACTTATTTACCAAACAGAATGAAGAACATACAAAAGAGAAAGGGCTCTAATATCTTGAGCATATATATACCTGAAGTTCTTTGATTTTTCGAAAGTCCTCATTCGAAAGTATGCCATCACTTTCATCAAAAGATGGCTTTTCGTTCTTTGCTTCAGCGAATCTCTTGAGTGCTCGGAGGCTTGTATCAGCAGAGAGAAGATTCGCATCAAAATCTACAATCTTCCTCTTCTTTCCATTAGCTTTCTCTTTGTTTCCGCTCTCCTCTATAGAAGAATCAGAAGCTTCTCCATCGTCTTCTTCGCTTTCGATTTCCGCATTTTCTGAATCTGCCTCAGCTTCATCACTGTCATTCATCTCTTCGTCTTCATCACCACCTATTGAAGTATCAATATCACTATCATCTTCAGTGTTATTCATATCATCACCATCATTGGAATCTTCTTCAGCTTCGTCCTCGCTTCCACAATCATCAGGTATCAGCTCCTGCTCAACATCATCACCGATAGGTAACTCCACGTCATCATCGTCTTGATCACCATCAGAGCCACTCTCATTATCACTTTCTTGCAATAATTCAACATTGGGAACATTGCTGAAGACATTAGACTCTCCATATTGTTTAGGTTTTGCAACGGTAGCTCCAGGACGGCCACGATCTTTTTTCACCAGAAGCGAAGGGTTGATCTGAAATAACAGAACGCAATTCTCGATTAACCATATACATCGATTATTTTGCTCAAACCAACAAATCAAATGCTTCTACTACCTCTCTGAACAATGCTATGAGGGAACGAGCTGCTGCTGAGATGGCTTTTTCATGGGACTTTTTATACTGAGCAAGATCTTGCAGCAACTCTTCTGTCATCAACTGAAGAACAGGAGCAAAAACACTATTCAGAAAAAAACAGATTTGATGCTAGATAAACTACATTTATATTAGACCAAAACACAGAGAGTCAAGAACTAGTTACGTCGTGAATCCTCAGGCACATTTCTCGTACCACATTGAGTCCAACAGCAATAGCCTGTTTACAAAAATGAATTGGAAAGGAAAATATTAAATGATAGAATAATCTTTCTAGTTATGTCCCTTGATGTGAAAAACTTGAAATTGCACCTCAGGACGTGACTTGTCGTGTACAAACTGATTCACTATTTGCTTGAACAGTGGCTCCACGGCATCAGAAGGAACCTGCTTGAGATAATATAATTAGAAGGACTGAAGAATGAGAAAAACAATCATGTTTTAACGTGGAAATGTTTCTATACCCCATCGTGGCAAGATTGAACTGCTGCTGCAAGTATTTGTGTAATGTCCTTTACATGCGGCTGCATTTAAGAACTGATTTCGATCAAATTTCGGTTAGCAGAAGAAATTATAAAGAGGGTAAGCAGATCATACCATAGCATAGTTTTGAAGAAAAGAATAGAAACTTAGCAAATGCAACTTGTGAAGACCAATTGTGCGAGCAATAACTTTAATCATCATCAACCTGGTCTGCAAATTTATTCAATAGAGGAAAATAATCAACAGTTAGTCAGACAAAGTTAAAGCTGGCCATATACTTGGCCAAATGAGGTGAAGTACTTAAATCAAAATTTTCATAATGAAAACAGGGAGAATTACCTCAACACGTTCACCACTGCCCTTGATGGTCTGAAGACGGGAAAACAATCGCTCCGCGAATTTCTGTAAAAAGAAGTAAATATTCAATCATAGCCACTTCCACACCATTGTGATTGCACTACACAAAGCTAAGAAGTGAACCTGCGCATCATTTAAATGATTAAGAGGTGAAAATGTTGAAGTGGTGTTCTCAGATGACGAACGCTGCTTTCTTTTAATACTTTTCACTGCACGCTGTAGTTTTGCTTGCTTTTTCTTCTTGCTAGAGGATGTACCTTTGTTGTTTGCCTAACATCAAAAAGAGAAAAATATTATCCAAAACTAACCCAAAACAGTTTCCCTATAGATTAATGCTCCATGATATCATATAAACATCACCTAATTTCATACTAGTTTGAAATGATGAAAATGATATAGACAACTATAAAGGTGGAAACTTTCATCAACAACTAGTAAGTGTCTTCTTCATACTCAATGATAAAATTATTCATGTATATGAATAAAATGTTGTTTTACCTTGTAAATAGCCTGTCGATTAATCACAACCTGATCTATTTTCTTATTATCCTCGTCATCATCGCTTTCAGCATCACTATCGTCATCATCGTCAATGTTCTCATAGTCAAGAAGAAATCGAAGGGCGGAAATCATTATCCTGAACATATATAAACAAGAAATTAGTAACTTGACAAACGAAAAATCATATCAACATACTCCAAAGTCAGAAAATAAGGATAATACCTAGGTGAAGAATGAAAGCAGGCTTCACAAATCGCAATTGCAACTCTTTCATTTTTATCACCAAGCCATATCTTTTTCTTGTGTAGCGCACAGAGAGTAGCAAGTGCTCTCTTAGCCTTTGCTTCATCTTCTTGCTACAAACAAAAAACACACCAAGCTTAAATATCATCTAGTAAAAATCGCGATCCCATGAAAAAAAGAAGAAAAGATTTACCTCCAGCATCGAGATTACAATCTTCTGAAGTGATTTGTGCTTGGGATCAGTGATACTCATCTTACGAATGGTTTGAACAATGTGACCAAAAGCAAGAGCTCGCAGGTTTTTGTCACCAAGAGTCTGAATATCCAGAAATAAAGCCAACAAATCCTCGATGACAAGACTCTAATCACACCACAAAGAAAACAATTCTCAGAACAAAACCAATCCTTTTAAAGTCTTAAACTTTAAGCACATCCCAAAATTAAGAAATGACACTTTTCTCCAATCAATTCAGCTTAAAGCACAAACCTTTCGATTCATTAGAAGAATCAGAGCTTGTGCAACATGGTTTCGAAGACCCGAGGGCATTGCTAAGCAAGAAGTACGGAGTAAATCAGTCAATTGAGCTGGAAACTCCGAGAGTTGCTTCGGGTAAAAGGGAGTAACGTGAGCTAAAAACATGGCACGGTCACCGAGGTCTTTGGAAACAGAAGGGTCAGATCCAATGCCACCAACGGAGGAGAAACTGAGAGCTGCTTGTTGCTGAAAGAGATCGACGGAGGTTTTGAACTGTTTGTAAATCAATTGGAGCTCTGTTTCGTAACCTTCTGGGTCACGTTTGATTTTACCTTGAAGGATAAGAAGGCTGAGATTCTCTGAGCTCCGGCCAGATGCCTTTAAGGATTCCGGCGTTAAACCTAGAGATCCGGCCATTTTCAGAGGTTTTGGGAGAGAGAATGAAACCCTAGGAAAAAAGTTGAGACTTATTTATAACTTTAGGTTTAGATATCTATTGAACCAGACCGGTTCAGGATATTTTTTTGGTTCTATACGGTTATTAAGACCAAGTGTAATTTATGTTTTTTTTTTAAGATCTTGTAATGGATGTTGAAAACTGAAGAGTTTACTTGGTGAATACTGTCTCTGTAACATTTTGAAGCTAAGATGCAACACAGAATTTACAAATTTAACAGATTTGTTTATAGGGTTCATGTATGAGTGAAGTATAGAGTCTTGCTCTTCTATCTTTGTTTAATCTTTTGACTTTTGCTAGATTCTTGGAAAAAAATGGTCAGACTATGTAAATGAATAATAATTGTGTGTTTGCAGAGGGCTACAAGTTTTGGTTATATATAAAGTATCAAACCTCAAAAATCATGAAAACTTAAAGATATAACAAGAATTTGTCACCAATGGTCACTAGTAACTACAAGATAGGTCTTTTACAATCTTGATGTTTGTTACTTGAGAGTCTTTCAATTGTAAGTCTTGTATGTTCTCGAGTCGTCTTTAGACTGTGAATCAGTGGGATCGCCATCGAAGCATCATATAGTATCCCACAACTAGCTAGGGATTCTAAGAGACAGACAAGTGAACAGAAACATCTCTCTTGTCCTCTGTTTTTTGGACCTCCCCCTAATGTCAAAATGCTAACTAGTAACAACAAATTCCTCTTTCTTTTGTTTGTTAATTGATTCTAGAGAGCTTCATTTTTTGTCTTCAGTATAATAATGAATAGCCAAAGAAAATATACACTTATGTCAGAGAGACTCACATAAGACATGACAGGCAAATTTGCACTTTTTCTGGAATCATTCTTTCACGGTTTTTTTCTCAATAAACACACAATTTGCAATACCCTAATTACGTTCCGTCTCCAACAAGAAACTCTCATCTTCTTCAAATAGACCAGTTCTACACGGAGACAGCAAATGTAATTCCTAAACCAAAATATGAAATGCATTACAAATCTTTCTTCAAATACTCTTGAAACAATGTCATCACTACAAACATCAAAACAGAGAGTTTACTGAGAGAAATTACAATGTCTTTAACAGAGCGACTTTATAATCATCTTTCTCTCTTCGATTTATTTCTTGCCTTGTTGGGGCTCTTTGTTTTCTGCTGTTTGCGTGAGAAGTTAACCAACAAGCGTGGACCAATGCTGTGGCCAGTGTTTGGAATTACTTTAGAGTTTTTCTTTCATACGAATGATGTCTATGGATGGGTGACAAGGAGTTTGAGAAAATGTCGAGGTACGTTTCTTTATCGCGGAGTTTGGCTTGATGGGTCTTATGGAGCTGTGACTTGTGTTCCTGCAAATGTCGAGTATATGCTCAAAACTAACTTCAAGAACTTCCCCAAGGGTACCTTCTTTAAAAGCCGGTTCAATGATCTGCTCGAGGATGGTATCTTTAATGCTGATGATGAGTCTTGGAAGGAGCAGCGACGGATCATCATAACCGAAATGCATTCAACCGGGTTTGTAGAGCATTCCTTTCAGACAACACAACATTTGGTAAGGAAGAAGCTGTTGAAGGTGATGGAGAGTTTCGCGAAGTCACAAGAAGCTTTCGATCTCCAAGACGTGTTCCTGCGCTTGACATTTGACATCATCTGCATCGCGGGTCTAGGTGCTGACCCGGAAACTCTAGCTGCTGATCTTCCCCAAGTTCCATTTGCTAAAGCTTTTGAAGAAGCAACAGAGTCTACACTATTTAGATTTATGATCCCTCCATTTATATGGAAACCTATGAGGTTTCTCGACATAGGGTATGAAAAAGGTCTCAGGAAAGCTGTTGGGGTTGTTCATGGGTTCGTCGACAAGCTGATTGTGGATCGTATCTGCGAGCTAAAGGAGGAAGAAACGTTAGATAATAGGTCAGATGTCCTCTCAAGGATTATTCAGATAGAGAGTCATAAAAAGGACAATGAGATTGATCCTTCCACCATCAGATTTTTCAGACAATTTTGCACAAGTTTTATTTTAGCTGGACGAGATACAAGTTCTGTTGCACTTTCATGGTTCTGCTGGGTGATACAGAAACACCCAGACGTTGAAAACAAAATCATCTGCGAGATAAGAGAAATCTTGAGACAGCGAGGGGATTCTCCAACCAGTAAAGACGAGAGCCTCTTCACGGTCAGAGAACTAAACAACATGGTATATCTACAAGCAGCACTATCAGAAACTCTGAGACTTTTCCCTCCAATTCCAATGGAAATGAAACAAGCCATTGAAGATGATGTGTTACCAGATGGGACATTCGTAAGAAAAGGTTCACGGGTTTACTTCTCAATCTATGCCATGGGAAGGATGGAAGCAATCTGGGGAAAAGATTGTGAAATTTTCAGACCAGAGAGATGGATCCAAGCAGGGAAGTTTGTCAGTGACGACCAGTTCAAATACGTTGTATTCAATGCTGGGCCAAGGCTGTGCATAGGAAAAACATTTGCTTACCTTCAGATGAAGATGATAGCTGCTTCAGTTTTGTTGAGGTACTCAATCAAGGTTGCCCAAGATCACGTCATTGTCCCGAGAGTCACGACTAACTTGTACATGAAGTACGGCCTCAAAGTGACCATCACGCCAAGATCGCTGGAAGAGAAGAAACTTGAGTCATGTTCCATGTAGAAGATTTGTAAACTATAATACCTTAGAGGAACTCAATTTTACTGCTGAATACTAAAACCACAATTTAACATTTTTTGACCTTATACTATCTCAATGAAAAAGTATATACTTGTTTTGGAGCAACTAGTAATCATCTCAATACATGTACAACTTCCTGCGGGCGTCCACATATCAAACCATAACATTGCTATTATGTAAAAGACCTCTAAGATCATTCTGAAAACTCATCCCAAACTCATTTAACACATGATCAAACATTGGAATTGATCCAAAGATCACTCCCAGAAGAAACATTGTCAACATTTTCAATGCAATACCAACCCTATTGACTAGTGGAATTGTCTAAGATCATCATCAATCTGTTCTCACTAAAACAAGACACCACTTCCTTTAAGAACAACTCCAAGATTGGAATCCAATTGATAATCAAAATGTGACATTCCAAGCTAACAAGACTACAAACCAACGAGGAAAATAATCAAAATTGGAACTTACAATTGTGAAGTAACTTTTATTCTCAAAAGAAAATAACTTTGCGAAAAGATGAACTCAAAGTTTGAAGACTGAAGATACAGTTAAAAAAGGAGACAGAGGTAAGAAAAGACTCAAACTTTTCCAGGAAAATTCGAGAGAGAAAACTTTTACTTCGAAAGCTTCATGGTCTCTCCAGAAGACTGAAACCATTTCTTATTTCATCGGAGACCCCATCGGAGACAATTCTCACTGAAGTACTTTAACTCTTTAAGTCACATTCATGGTTCCAGTTGTGGCTCTACTATATCTGAAATATCCGCCAATTGAAACATCCTCCGTGAGAAACAGAGTCGTAGTATCTCTTCTCCGATATGGCGGCGATGCGGGTTCACTCAAAGAGTTCTCTTTTTAATGTGTTTTAGCATTCTGAGCCCAAAACTTTTGGGCCTATTCTATAAATTTCAGTCTTTCTACGGCCCATCCTCTCTCGACCAATGTATAAGGTGATTGTCACCAAAGACATGAACGCAAATTCTGCCTTTTTAGAAGCATTCTTTGCGTTTGTAACGCTTTCTGCCAACATACCATTTGCATTAGCATGAACAATTGAACATTAACGTTTCGTGTCCAACAAGAAACTTCATCTTTTATTGGGATATACTACTTGTTAATTTCCTCAGAGTAACTGTCTTCTGCAAGAAGATTGCAACAAAAGTGGACTTCTTATGCAAAAACAGAAAACGCATGATGAAAATGTTTCCTCAAATACTCTTTTGAATCTTCAATTTTACTTATTACATTTTCACATCAAACAGAAACAGAGATTTCACTGAGAGAACTTACAATGTCTGAAACATCATCTTCCATGTCTTTAACAGAGAGAGTTTATAATCATCTTTGTCTTTCCGATGTTTCTCTGGCCTTGTTGGGACTCTTTGTTTTCTGTTGCGTGCGTGAGAAGGTAACCAAAAAGCAGGGGCCAACGATATGGCCTGTATTCGGAATAACTCCAGAGTTCTTTTTTCACAGGAATGATGTTTATGGTTGGGTCACAAGATGTTTGAAAAAATGTCGAGGTACCTTTCTTTATAACGGAATCTGGCTTGGTGGGTCTTCTGGAGCAGTGACTTGTGTCCCTGCGAACGTTGAATACATGCTCAAGACTAACTTCAAGAACTTCCCAAAAGGTGCCTTTTTCAAAGAACGGTTCAATGATCTGCTTGAGGATGGTATCTTTAATGCTGATGCTGAGTCTTGGAAGGAGCAACGACGGATTATCATAACCGAAATGCATTCAACCAGGTTCGTGGAGCATTCCTTTCAGACAACACAAGATTTGGTAAGGAAGAAGCTGTTAAAAGTGATGGGGAATTTTGCAAGATCTCAAGAGGCTTTTGATCTCCAAGATGTGCTCTTGCGCTTGACATTTGACAACATCTGCATCGCTGGTCTAGGTGATGACCCGGGAACTCTGGATTCTGATCTTCCCCTTGTTCCATTTGCTCAAGCTTTTGAAGAAGCAACGGAATCTACGCTGTTTAGATTCATGATTCCTCCTTTTATATGGAAACCCTTGAAGTTCTTCGACATCGGGTATGAGAAAAGTCTCAGGAAAGCTGTTAAGGTCGTCCATGAGTTTGTCGACAAGATGGTTGTGGATCGTATTTGCAAGCTCAAAGAAGAAGGAACGTTAGGTAACAGATCCGATGTCCTCTCACGGATTATTGAGATAGAAAATCACAAGAAGAGTGATGAAAAAGATCCTTCCACCATCAAATTCTTTAGACAATTCTGCACAAGTTTCATCTTAGCTGGACGAGACACAAGTTCAGTTGCACTTACATGGTTCTTCTGGGTGATACAGAAACATCCAGAAGTTGAAAACAAAATCATCTGCGAGATAACAGAAATCTTAAGACAGCGAGGGGATTCTCCAACCAGCAACAATGAGAGTCTCTTCACGGTCAAAGAACTAAACGACATGGTATACCTACAAGCAGCACTTTCAGAAACAATGAGACTTTACCCTCCAATACCAATGGAAATGAAACAAGCCATCGAAGACGATGTTTTCCCCGATGGAACTTTCATACGTAAAGGTTCACGGGTTTACTTTGCGACTTACGCCATGGGAAGGATGGAATCCATATGGGGAAAAGACTGTGAAACATTCAAACCAGAGAGATGGATCCAATCAGGGAATTTCGTGAACGATGAACAATTCAAATACGTTGTGTTTAATGCTGGGCCAAGGCTGTGTTTAGGAAAAACATTCGCTTATCTGCAGATGAAGACAGTCGCTGCTTCAGTCTTGTCAAGGTACTCAATAAAGGTTGCTAAAGATCATGTAGTTGTCCCCAGAGTTACTACAACCTTGTACATGAAGCACGGTCTCAAGGTAACCATCTCACCAAAGTCCCTGGAAGATAAGGTACATGTTCAAGATTAGAGAATCAAGGTTCACAGAGATAACAGAGGATTTGTAGGAGAAGTTACTCAAGTCATGTTCCTTGTATGAGATTTGCAAAAGATTAAGACTTTAGAGAGAAATCAGACTTTCCTGTTTAATATCAAAAACCGCAATGTAACATCTTATACTACCTCAATGTATAATCTTGAAAGATGAAAAAGACTCTACAAGCTAAAAATCTACAAACTCAACGAGGAAAAAATCTACAAACATAAGAACTCAAAGTTGGGAAGACAATTTCTAAACTTTTTCCGGCCAAAATTGAAGACGAGACTGTATCAGAGTCATACCAGCGAACGAATCATCGGTTAGCTGTTTTTCTGTAGCATCTTCGTCAATTTAAAGCGCGTTGAATTCACGCGCCGCCTGTTGACCCGTCGTCGTTGATTTCATCGGCTGGATCGAGGCAATGCCACCGCCGGCTCGACGGTGGTGGTGGGTAAGTAATTTGGAAGGCGAATAATTATAGTTTTACTCCTCATTAGTTTTGCTATTTACGGATTTGCCCCGTTTCTTCACTTGTGTTAAATTTTACTCCTTGATAGGGTTTCTATTTACGTATCATTTTATTAAGTAACTGAAGATGAAAAAGTTTATAGAATGTTTATTTGAAACAAATGATATATTAAGAAATTTTATAATAGATAGATGAAAAAAAAAATTATAATAGATACTCTAACATTTTTATTTTTTTCTAATTTAAAACAATATTTGTTCCACACTTCCACTAATAACTTAAAGCAAGTCAAAAAGCTTTAAAAATTAAAACATAGACGAGATCTCTTTATGCAATCTCGAGCTCTTCAATGGCCTTGTAGCTTTAATAATCTTAAACCATTGGCTCATTGGCTCACACGAGCTGTCTTTGCTCAGACATTTGCAAGCATTAGCCACGATATTGTTGGCTGTGTCTATGTCAAGGCAAAGAGAAGTCTTGTTACTTGTTGTTGAAGCTAAGTGCATCCTAGAGGCCGAGATGGTCTGCCATTTTGATCCAGATGTCGAACAACTCGTCCGAGTCATCGTAACCGGGTTTTTTGGTCCGTTGCTCTGTAAACACAAATGCTGGTCTTTAATTCTTAGGGCTTTCTCAGTGTAGCTCCATGGTTCGGAGCTATTGCAGGGACCAAGAGTAAGCATTTTTGGATCATCAAGAGATCGTACTATGCAGAGTCCAGTTAAAGGATGGAAAACCAGATTGTAAGCATCAGTTCGAGGTCCCGGTCCTAGTAAACCAAATCAATCCAAAACTTTAGAAATTTTAAAACGAAACTATTGCGTGTTGCAATTAAACTTTAGTAATTTTTGCCATATGCACCTTGAAGCGGAGATTGAAGAAAAGAGATCTTTTGCAAGAAACTTGAATTCCGAACACTTATCCAATCCGAATCCAACACACCATAATACTCAATCATCCCGACCACGCCTTGTCTTAAGTAATAGCTTCCAGTAAGGGCCCATATCGACCAATCGACGTCATTTTCCGCGGCCCAACCGGTTACACACCCGAAATACCGGTTATCATTGGTGTTTATTCCTCTTTCATCTATACCGAATTCGCTGAGGAACAACGGAAAGCCTTGGTTAAGGAGATAACCGCCACCGTTTCCAATCCGGTTTAGAACCCGACCGCATATATCGTTAGGGTTATTGGCCGCCCACGAGTTTCCGTCGCTGAAAGAATACCAATGGAGCTCGAAAACAAGTTTTCCGGTGAAGGATAGTTTTACGGGTCGAGACCTAACGAAAGAGAGATCGGCGTCGAAGCTGAGACCGGAGAGGATTACGAGTACCTTCTTGTTTGATGAATGAACTGCTTCCGCTCCTTGTTGCATATACCTACGTACATTAAACTCTATAACTAAAATATACGTATATATGCGCATATAGATTAAATAATAACGTTACCGTACTTGAACCAATCGTTAACGTTTTGTTTAGGCCCTCTAAGTTCATTCCTTAGACTCATGCCAACGACATTAGAGACACCGTCGAAAGTCGCCGCCATTTTCTTTAAAGCGGCAACCCATACAGTAGGATCAAAAAACTGGTCACCGAAGAAACCGTTACCATCGTCTTTGGCGCAGCACCACCCTGGTTTGGTTAGGTGGTTGTCTAATATCACCATCACGTCGTTGTTTCCTAATGTAGTAACTACCATCTGCAGAAAAAGAAAAAGAGGACTATCTCATCATTCACATTTCACTTTCACCTCTTTGTTTTTTTTTTGTTTTTTTATTACAAGATTGCGGATTCGGTTAAGATTGCTGATTTTAGTTTTATCACATGGATTTAACATTTTCATGGCATGCATGTGATCTTATTCCTTATGCTTTAGATAAGTTTCCGTGAGACATCCAATATGTTTCATCTTTTGTTCATCATGTGATAACATTTTATGATATATGTAACTTATTTAATTATGAAATTACTAAACATGAAATAGTAGTTTTTAAAAATCAGGAACAAAGACTAAAATCCTTCACGAAATAAGCTACCAACTTTTGGGTACAACATGACTCATAACGTCTAGATCATCTTCAAAGAATCATATATGCAATAAATATCGATACAGATGCATGCATTATATATACCACATTAAGAACAGAACAAGTCCTTCTGAATATACTTAGTTTATTTGAGCAGAAAAGGAAAAATGCCAAACAAACGTCACGAGTGTTTTTTTTGTTCTGGAGTTACATTAACTTCACATTTACCCACTACTACCAAACAATTTTTAATTAAGATATTAACTAATGACATATCTCAGCATAGACCGTACCGGAATATTATGTTTCTCTCTTTTTAGAAATTTTGTTTAATCTAATTAAGTCTAAGACCACTTTTATAACAATTCCCAACCAAACCCCAACTAAAAATTGATTATGGTATATATGTAAATTTCCCTTCAAGAGTTGACGTGTTATTTAGTCAGATTGGTTCTTCTACAGTTTCAATACGTGTAGCAGTTTGATAAGCAACATTGAAACTTGAAACATCGTTCTTCTATCAATTTTTTTAAAAATGAATAGAAGTTAATTATTAATTTATTTAGACTTGTTGAACAGTTACATTTTAATGTTTAAAGATATCTTTCCCTAAAAGTTTAAAACATAATCTACCGCCCTACATGCCTTGTTAGTTTTAAACTATATATTATACGAAAAATTAGAAAAATTGTTATATAATCGCATGACACATGAAAAGGATGTACTAACGTGCAGTGTATATCTATGCATATATATATATACGTACGAGATATTACAGTATTTGCATGAGAGAATTCAATCTAACACGCTAAATTTCTTGTTGGTCAAATTCAAATGGCAATGTAACTAGCACAAGATAAATTACCTCACAATAATCATAACCAAAAAAAAATCATAAAATGAAACGCATTAATATATAGAATTAAGTGATGGGAGATATTGTAAGAGTACGTACCTTGTAAGCTTCAATGAGGGAGAGATCAATAATGGAAGGGTTGTTAGTTTGGAAGCCAACAATATCATCATTAAGACCAAGGCTTTGAAAAGATTGTCTCACTGTGACATTATTAGCCAATGTCTCATTAGTCATCAAATCCAACGGCCAAGTTAACCTAACACAATTGAAACCCATCTCCACTATCTTCTTGGCCACTGCGTCCACTGGTTGCTTGCTCAGCCCTTCCGCTACAACTGGTTGGAGGTGTGATGGCCAGTTCGCACACGTAAGCTTCACCCGTTGACCGTTCTCGTCGACGATCCAACGGGAGCTTGTGGAGAGAGGATAAGCCATGTTTGGGACGGTGTGTTGTGCAATGAATGAGAAGAAGAAACAGAAGAATGGGAAAATGCAAAACATGTGTTTTGGCTCTTTTGATGTCATTTCTTGTATGAAGTTGTTATTTTGTGTGTTGGAGAATCAATTTGACAATAGTCATATTTATATAGAGAGAGAGATAGAGGGTTGAGAAGTAAATGTCTCTGTCATAAAAATTTTCTTCTTCCTTTACTATTCATATATCGTAAATTATTACGTATTGTTTTTAACATTTTCTTTAATATTAGTTCGTCTCTTGTCCGTGTTAATCAACGTATGATATATCAAATTGCTAATTTTCTTATAGAAATGTTAATATGTTGAAAGAGGCAGCAGATTTTTCTTCTTTTTTTGTGTGGAAATTATACTATGAATATAAACAATTTAATTTAATGAAAATGTTTTAATCATTTTTTTTGGTATTAAGTGAGTGGTACTATTTTTATTTGATTCAGGAAGACTAATTAATTAACATCTAGAATGCTCTAAGTCAGAAATTTTTTGATTTTCAACAGTGTATGTTATTTTGTCAACTATGTAGTTGATATATGCGTTTAATGTGTACGTACCCAAAACCAAATGCGTTACCAACTATCTGAATCTATTTACTTACTTAACCTATTAATATGAATAATTTCAATGACATTTATTCATCTCAGCTGTAATACAACTATTTTAGCATTGTACTACACTAGCTACTTTGTAAAACCCTTTCCCACTAGCTAGTTGGCTTTCACCAAAATTAATGATGAATATTATACTAATAACAATGAAAAGGTTCCATATCATTTGCAACTAGTATTCATATATAAAATCAACATTTAAATAAGAAAACAGATACAATTACTTTGAATGTAATTTTATTTGCAAGATACAATTACTGTATCGTAATTATAAATTCCACTGCACTTTTTCACAAATCACAAGTTAAGGGAGACTTAAAAGCGTTGGACTCAACGACCGTTGAAGTTTAACCTACGTCCAAGTAAATACTCCTTTTTGTGTTTGTTCTTAACACAAGATTTTGTTGCTTTGTAAAGAAGAGAGAGATTTTTGCTTACCTTCAAGAAAAAAAGTAATCTCATTTTTAAAATCACAAATATACATAGACTTCTTTTAACGATGGTTGCATAGTTTTTTATATGTTTGTTCACTTTTTCGAGAAGTAAATGTTTGTTTTTTTTAACGATTTCTATT